TGTGTTTGTCGAATGAGCATGAAGTAAAGTAGGTTGGGAACAGTGTGCAAACCTCTACCACATATTTCTTAAAATTTGGGTTTCTACCACATCTATCACAAAAGGCTCAAAACCTACCACATTCTTAGACAGAACATTTGTTTATAATTTTCACATAANTAAAGTAGGTTGGGAACAGTGTGCAAACCTCTACCACATATTTCTTAAAATTTGGGTTTCTACCACATCTATCACAAAAGGCTTAAAACCTACCACATTCTTAGACAGAACATTTGTTTATAATTTTCACATAAACTCTAAAATTTCAACTCAATTCTAATAAGAAATATAAGAATTAATCAATAAAATTTTAGAAAGGTGCATCATGAATTTTGCTTTAAATATATCTGTGCTTCAACTTTGTATTACTTCAGAAATCCGCATATTTATATTTGCTAAAGTATTATGCAATGGAAAAGAGTAATTTGTTCCATCCTATGGTTTAATTGTACACAGGGCCGTAGAGAGGAAATCCGGGCTCCGTGGGAATCTCGCACTTGTTATTAGGTATTAACGTGTTCCAGAAATAAATAACATTTCGCAATCGCTAAATTGTTTAGATCAATATAAAAATAGGCAAGCATGAATCAATTGGGAACAATTTTCTCCTATGTTTCTTAACCGATTAGAATGGTTGCTTTGTTGGAAAGGTGTTTAGAAGAAGTGCACAAAGTTTTAAGTTTTCCGATAGGTGGCGCTGGGGTCGAGCTATGCTAAAAATCGTATTTTCGGCCCGATTTGCTTCAAACTCAGAATATACATTAGTTACACAAGGAGAAATAAACCTGCCAGAAATGGACAACATGCTGTCATATCTATGATGTTTTCCAATTTAATTTAAGCGGGCCTTTCTGGAAATGATTTTATTTTTTAACGAACTCTTATACATATGCTGCGCTTTAGTTTGGATAAAAAAAAGATTAGCTTAGAATTATTACATTATTTAACAGGATGTACATANTATGACTTTATTTTTTAACGAACTCTTATACATATGCTGCGCTTTAGTTTGGATAAAAAAAAAGATTAGCTTAGAATTATTACATTATTTAACAGGATGTACATACATATTTATATCAATCTAACAACGTTGGTCAGGTTCGCGGGCCATAGATTATTACACATACTTTCGAATTCTATCTAATACACTTCAAAATCATCATCAATATGAAGCATTATTGCCTCTATATTGATGACAAGCAAAATGAAAATGTGTATAAAAAAGCGAAGTGGTCGAATTTCAACAACTGGGCGATACTAGTTCTTTTAGTTTTGCGCAGCTCTGTCCTCTCGCTTTTAAAAAGTTTAAGGTGGTGAATTTCCACAGAGAAGTTTTGATCTACCACAAATTCATTGTACATAGTATCATACTAAGTATACTACAATAGTCGCACAGTGTTTTAGTAAAGCAAAGATAGGTGAAAGAATTGTGTTTATCTAAACAAAATTCGATGAAGTTGTCTTTTATCAAGCGCAAAAAAAAAAATAAAATTTATTTTAAATGAGTCGCTGGAATAGTTTTTTTTTATCATTGGAAGATTTGTGCGCATCAGAGAACGTAGCTCGTTTTTAGATGCTAAACCAGGTTAAGTTAGGTAGGCTGGATAGCCACTGAGTGGCTTCGCATATGCCATTAAGGTGCTTAGCGTTACCAGATAAACTACGACCATATTAGACAACTATTCACTGAGTATCAGCAGCAATGTTGAAGAACATCGCAGTCCTCTTGACAATCTGGAACACCTTATTGTACCTCATCTTGGCAGCAGATGCCAGATTAGGCAGAAAGCCTGCTCCCAGGGGGCTATTCCGCAGTCTACTAAGGGTAGGACACTCGCATAGAATATATGTTCCAGTTTCTCCTTTTTAATCCTGCATTTCCTTCATATCTTATCACTTCTCAGAGCCAGTTTAAAGCCATGCGATGCTAGAAGACAATGCCCCATTAGAACACCCACCAGTAGCCTAGCGTCCTCCCACTTGAGGCATAAGAGCAACTTCTTGAGCTTTATGTCATATTTTGCAGAAAAACTTTCCTTATCTTCTTTCGTTAGACACCCGCATTGCAATGTCTCATTTAACCTCTCATTAAATACAACTACAACTATTCTTCGAAAATATTTTAAAAATAAACCTATAAAAGTATTTTAGAAAACAACGTTCTTAAACCGCAGTCGTTTGACATCCATATTAATATATTTCATTTAACTTAATAAAATCGATTTCGAATTTGCAAGCAGTTGGCAACCATCTTCAAAAATATTTTTGAAATAAACCTTTCTTAACCCTTTCTAGTTTGACTCTCATATTAAAACATTCCATTTACCTTGTTTATTAATTTGGTTTTGAATTTATAACCACGTGGCAACCTTTTTCAAGAATCTTTCCGAAATAAACTTTCCTTAAACCTCCTGCGCTTGATAACCATATTAAATACTTTATTAAACTTGTTAATTAAAGTAAAAGCTGATTTTGAATTTCTAAACAGGTGGCAAGCCTCTACAAAAATATTTTAGAAATATCAAAATAATTCATTTAACTTGTTAATTAATTTGATCAAGAATTTTCAAAATGGCGGCAATCTACTATCATAAAAAAGGTTTTCGTAATGAAGATTTCTTAGACCTCTCGTTGATTTGATTCACATATAAAAAATTTGATTAAGCTTGTTGATTAAATTGATAAAATCATTTTTGAAATAAAGCTTTCTTAGACGTCTCTCGTTTGTAACGCAGATTAAAATATTTTAATTAACTAGTTTATTAGATTGATCTCCACATTTTGAACAGGTGGCAACTCTCTCCAATGTTATTCGAAATATACCGTTTTAGAATTCTTTTCTTTTGACAACCGCAATGTAAAATTTTATTTAATCTATTAATTAATTGATTTTAACTATTGAAAAAAGTGGCAACTCTTAAAAAAAAAACACTTCCTGAATGTCAGTCCAAGTTTATAATATTAATAACAGTTAAGTCTCGAGCGGTTGCTAGACATGCACATTCGTTCAAAATTAGGCAACGGAGTATTGTCTACTGAACAGCATGCTTAACAAAAAGGGCGCTCTACAGAATCTGCGCTCCATGAGGTAGTGGAGTTTTCGCTAGAAAATAAACAATAAACGTGGAAAATGCGTCACCGAGTGCTCTGATGTTGAGGGAACTTAGACTGTGGAAAGAACGTATGTACGTACGGGCATGGACGTATCTTGATCTCTTTCATAGGGCTTTCGCACGAGGCGATTTTTCAGGCAACTTTTGCTTTGATATCACGCAGGGTTGCACGAAAAAAAAAAATTGAATGGCTAAAAATATCAAAATATAAAAAAATATAAAAATATTCGCCATAAAAAGGCGTTTGCATTGTTCAACTTTGCATTCTAATTTTGGTTGAACGGCCTTTCAACTAATCGCTTTCAACGAAGTTGGTCGCCAGCCAACATTTAGCCATTCAACTTTTTTTTTTCTTGCAACCCTGCGTGAGTTGAAAGCAAAAGTTGAACGCAAAATCGCCTCGTGCGGGCACCTTTTCAACGACCGCGAAAAATCTGACTGCCTAGTGAAAAATCTGACTGCTTACTGAACGCTTTGAAGTATCCATTTTGACGGACGTCTAAAAATTTATTGTGGCATAGAGGCGGGAATTTTTTCAACTGACATCCAAATCGAAAAATCTATTCGGCTACCAAATGCTACCAGTGTTTTTCAGCCAGGCGTGCTATTCTCAAAGCTATCCGGGACCAGCATTGCTATTTTCTCGTATAGTCAGGCAGCAATCAAGGCACCTGGCTCGGTAAGTATCACTTCCAGCATAATAAAACAGTGCAGAGAAAACGTAATGGCTTTAGCTGATAGGTATGTCGTTGCACTGGGTGGCCGAGCACAGCAGAATTCATGGCAATGAGATGGCTGACGTCCTGACCCACCGGCTGCGCTAAGCGCGCTACATTTCTCCTAAATCTCAATGGGAAAGATTTATCTCGACTAACTGCCGTTTACACAGGGCACTGGTTCAGTTGGAATCCATGCTGCAAGACTAAAACTGGAACACAACACCTCTTTTCCTATCTGTATTTCACCAGATGCAGAAGAAACGGTGTACGACTCGACAATATCCGCATTGTCGACTGTCGTGCTGCCAAGTTTTTTCCGTTTTAATACACTAGTCGAGTGGACATTTGCGGCAATGACGAGATATTTTCGATATGATTCGACTCTCAAAAACGACTTACATTCGACACGGCACTCGCAGTGAGGCTGAATATTAACCCACTACAACTACTTAAGTTCTTGAACTCCACAAGCTGGATTTGAAGAAATATCCGATCTCTGCTGGTTTCTTTCCGTCTTTTTTAGCTTCCTTTTATTAGCTCGGGATGTAACTATGTAATATTTATGCGCCTAAAAGATGCAGCGATTTCTATTCTCAAGTTAGGGAGGTTTTAGTTTTTTAGACTATAATTTTATTCAGGCTAAATTTCGAGTGGTGGTTTTAAAACGACATGCATAAGTGCTAATTTAAGTTGCTAAACTCGCCATTTGAACCCACCCAATTAATTAATAATGAGTTAAGTTATTTCAGTATTTCTATTCATTTGCATTCACCAGAAATCGACTGGGTCAATAAGGTTCAAAGTGCAATTATTAATTTATAACTATAGACAAAAGTGTCCAACAATTAAGCAAACACTTTAGTCGAACTAATCCGTACCAACATTTGAACAAAAAATATAATCTATACTACATACATACATACATAGAAAATCTGTTATGGAAATGTTTGTGTTTAAATCGACGGCTATAATCGATCAATACAATGAACGATGAGCTAATGTGGAATTGATTATATTAGTGTTATCAGGAAAGATTACAAGTACTTAAATATAATGATACGTCAATAAGACAAAAATTATTCGCACTATAACGGCTAAACTATTTAAGATTTTATCGCACTTTAGCTCATTTATTTAATTTCCCCTTTTTCAGCGCACTCTGGGCCTACCTCAAGCTCTTGCGCCTCACCAAAAGATACGAGCGTGAAAATCTTACCATTGCGGACATCTTTCAAATGCAAGTTAAACAGAATCCAAATAAAAATGCGATAATCAGCGATACGCAGAGGTGGACCTTTCGCCAGTTGGAAGAATTTTCAAATCGCATAGCAAACTTCTTTCATGCACAAGGCTACCGAAAGGGCGATGTCGTTGGCTTATTGCTTGAGAATCGTGCCGAATTTGTAGGCATTTGGTTGGGACTCTCCAAAATTGGGGTAATCACGCCACTGATTAATACCAACCAGCGTGGACCATCGCTGTTGCACAGCATCAGTGTGGCGCATTGTAAATCATTGATTTTCGGTGAGAGCTTCAGCACAGCTGTTGAAGAAGTGCGCAATGATATACCACCGGCACATGTAGCGCTATACCAATTCAACGATGAAGCGAATAAGAACGTGATCGAATCGGCGAAGGATATGACTACCCTGCTGGAAACTGTGGAAAAGCGTCATGTAGCTGCGCAAGCGGAGCGTGCTAACCATCATGATCGTCTTGTCTACATCTACACTTCGGGCACCACAGGTCTGCCCAAGGCGGCGGTGATCTCACATGCGCGGTAGGCTTTATTAGTGTCCATCTTGTGTTATTTACTCTCTGTTCATATGCGCATATGATTTTCAAAACGTTCTAGCTATCTCTTCATCGCGGCTGGCATCAACTATACAATGGGTTTCCGTCAGGAAGACGTTTTCTACACGCCACTTCCTCTGTACCACACCGCCGGCGGCATTATGAGTATGGGTCAGGCGATTTTGTTTGGCTCCACCGTTGCTATACGCAAGAAGTTCTCCGCCTCTGGCTATTTTACTGATTGCGTCAAGTTTGAGGCTACCGTAAGTTTTACATATCATCTATGTCACCCATTTTTTGCACGCTACACCTTTTCTACCCTTCTAATCGTTACAGGTCGGTCAGTATATCGGTGAGATGGCGCGCTACATACTTGCTACCCCTCCGTCGGCAAACGATCGCACACATCATGTGCGTCTCATTTTCGGCAATGGTTNCATTTATTTAATTTCCCCTTTTTCAGCGCACTCTGGGCCTACCTCAAGCTCTTGCGCCTCACCAAAAGATACGAGCGTGAAAATCTTACCATTGCGGACATCTTTCAAATGCAAGTTAAACAGAATCCAAATAAAAATGCGATAATCAGCGATACGCAGAGGTGGACCTTTCGCCAGTTGGAAGAATTTTCAAATCGCATAGCAAACTTCTTTCATGCACAAGGCTACCGAAAGGGCGATGTCGTTGGCTTATTGCTTGAGAATCGTGCCGAATTTGTAGGCATTTGGTTGGGACTCTCCAAAATTGGGGTAATCACGCCACTGATTAATACCAACCAGCGTGGACCATCGCTGTTGCACAGCATCAGTGTGGCGCATTGTAAATCATTGATTTTCGGTGAGAGCTTCAGCACAGCTGTTGAAGAAGTGCGCAATGATATACCACCGGCACATGTAGCGCTATACCAATTCAACGATGAAGCGAATAAGAACGTGATCGAATCGGCGAAGGATATGACTACCCTGCTGGAAACTGTGGAAAAGCGTCATGTAGCTGCGCAAGCGGAGCGTGCTAACCATCATGATCGTCTTGTCTACATCTACACTTCGGGCACCACAGGTCTGCCCAAGGCGGCGGTGATCTCACATGCGCGGTAGGCTTTATTAGTGTCCATCTTGTGTTATTTACTCTCTGTTCATATGCGCATATGATTTTCAAAACGTTCTAGCTATCTCTTCATCGCGGCTGGCATCAACTATACAATGGGTTTCCGTCAGGAAGACGTTTTCTACACGCCACTTCCTCTGTACCACACCGCCGGCGGCATTATGAGTATGGGTCAGGCGATTTTGTTTGGCTCCACCGTTGCTATACGCAAGAAGTTCTCCGCCTCTGGCTATTTTACTGATTGCGTCAAGTTTGAGGCTACCGTAAGTTTTACATATCATCTATGTCACCCATTTTTTGCACGCTACACCTTTTCTACCCTTCTAATCATTACAGGTCGGTCAGTATATCGGTGAGATGGCGCGCTACATACTTGCTACCCCTCCNTCGTCTTGTCTACATCTACACTTCGGGCACCACAGGTCTGCCCAAGGCGGCGGTGATCTCACATGCGCGGTAGGCTTTATTAGTGTCCATCTTGTGTTATTTACTCTCTGTTCATATGCGCATATGATTTTCAAAACGTTCTAGNCCGTCTTGTATACATCTACACTTCGGGCACCACAGGTCTGCCCAAGGCGGCGGTGATCTCACATGCGCGGTAGGCTTTATTAGTGTCCATCTTATGTTATTTACTCTCTGTTCATATGCGCATATGATTTTCAAAACGTTCTAGCTATCTCTTCATCGCGGCTGGCATCAACTATACAATGGGTTTCCGTCAGGAAGACGTTTTCTACACGCCACTTCCTCTGTACCACACCGCCGGCGGCATTATGAGTATGGGTCAGGCGATTTTGTTTGGCTCCACCGTTGCTATACGCAAGAAGTTCTCCGCCTCTGGCTATTTTACTGATTGCGTCAAGTTTGAGGCTACCGTAAGTTTTACATATCATCTATGTCACCCATTTTTTGCACGCTACACCTTTTCTACCCTTCTAATCGTTACAGGTCGGTCAGTATATCGGTGAGATGGCGCGCTACATACTTGCTACCCCTCCGTCGGCAAACGATCGCACACATCATGTGCGTCTCATTTTCGGCAATGGTTTACGTCCACAAATTTGGCCTCAGTTTGTCGAACGCTTCAATATTTCCAAAGTGGGTGAATTTTATGGCGCCACTGAGGGTAATGCAAACATAATGAATAACGACAGCACTATTGGCGCCATCGGTTTCGTCTCACGCATTCTGCCGCAAGTTTATCCGATCTCGATTCTACGCGCCAATCCCGACACCGGTGAACCGATACGCGGTGCTGATGGGCTCTGCCAGCTGTGCGAACCCAACGAGCCTGGCGTGTTTATCGGCAAAATTGTTAAAGGAAATTCAGCGCGCGAATTCCTTGGCTATGTAGATGAGAAAGCATCGGCGAAGAAAATTGTTTGTGATGTATTCCGCAAAGGCGATATGGCTTTCTTATCGGGTGATCTGTTAGTTGCCGATGAGCGCGGTTATTTGTTCTTTAAGGATCGTACAGGTGACACATTCCGTTGGAAGGGGGAGAACGTATCGACCAGCGAGGTGGAGGCGCAAGTCAGCAACGTCGCAGGCTATAAGGACACAGTTGTTTATGGTGTGGCCATACCACACACAGAAGGGCGTGCAGGCATGGCTGCCATTTTCGATCCGAATCATGAGGTGGACTTGGAATTGTTCGCTGACAAGCTGGCGAAGGCGTTGCCTGCCTATGCGCGTCCACAATTCTTGCGGTTTCTCACCAAAATCGATATGACTGGCACGTTTAAGTTGCGTAAAGTGGATTTGCAGAAAGAGGGCTTCGATCCAACTAAGATTAAGGATACGCTTTACTATCAGACGCCGAAAGGACGTTACGAAGTGCTCACACCTGAAATATATGAGAAAATCAACCGTCATGAGTTGCGTTTTTAAGCTTATGGACTGATAGGGATCGAGGTGCGCGCGTGCATATTCTTGCATTGGGATATTGTGTTTGCCTGTTTTTAGAGTTTAAGTATTTTTCCATTAAAAAAAAAAAATGTAACGGTAGTTTAGTACACGCTTTGCTCTGACAAAGCTTGCCAACTAAAGATAAATTTTATATCTTTAAAAATAATTTTTTAGTATGTGTGTAGAAATTGTTATCTTGCTCTTAGAATTAGTTGGCCAAATAATTTCGTTATAGTTAAACTTTTTGTATATAAATAAAAATTGTTAAGCGAATTTCGAAAACTCTCTTTGGATTGAATAACTTTGTGTAATACTAAATATAATATGACTTAAGTTATGAGAGGCTTAAGTACTTCGATCTAACTGAATTCATTTAAACCATAAGGCGGTTGAGGTTTACGTACCTAATACTGTTAAAGACTATACTTACATACGTATTTTTTATGCATAAATCCGATGCGAAAAATAAAATGAGCTTTAATTTTAATAAGCGCTTTTTTAATTATTTAATGGAATCTACTTTTGGGTACGAAACCTCTGGCGTTTTCTTTTCTAATAAAAATATGTTACCTTCTCATTGCCCTCTCCTGATTATTTTTGCGGAGAGAGCACTGAAAAGGCAACATTTTTCGATACAAAAGAAAACGATAGTAGTCAATGGATAAATTCTTCAACGATCTGACAGCCATCAAGAAAGTGAAAATGCATTTACATGTCGTTTAAAGTACAAAACCGCGTATCAAGAAAATGCAAAACCTCGTATGTGAGGTTGGCAAGATTTTGTAGGTGAGAGTAAAGCTAGTCCTATTTGAAAACGGTTCTCTCTTTTATCCCTAATTATCTCTTCTTATTATGTCTAAGAATCGATATTTTAGTATAAATGGAAAAGAGCGCGATGCTAGGAGCCTCCGGTGAGCAAATATCTTTTTTGGCACAAATGTCAGTTACGAAGTTTTGCTTAACGACGATACGCGGTTTTGTACTTTAAACGACGATATTTGTGTATGTATATGTAAGCTTCTTGTTGAACATCCAGCAAGCAAAGACACGTAAATTTTGCCGACAGTGCAGTTTCGTTCAATTTTCCGTATCCGAAAACGCATAGAAAAAACTCCTACAGTTATCACTAATTTTCGTCTCCGGAAAAAGTTCGAAACGTTCGAAAAAGATGATGTCATTTGAAAGCAATAATTGTATTTTATTTGATCAAGCTAAACATTTGAAAGCATGTATACGTAGTCGGCAGTGGCTGAGCGTGCAGAGGAGTGTGCCGCTATTTGTTAGCTTCCAGAAGGTGCCGGGTTTGAATTCGGTCAGGCGCTTCCTAATTTTATTTTATTTCTTTTGAACCATGAAAAAGTATCTGTGAAGTGCAGAAGGAAAACTTTTTGAACGAAAAATTCAATCAGACAAATTTCAAAAAAAAAAAAGCCGAAAACGTATTCGTTTCACAAACAATTTTCAGTAGTTTTCTATACATACGTTTCTGCCGCACACTTTAGTGGGAAAACGGATCGTCAAAGTATCCGAAAATGGAATCATTAAACGGAAAAAATCCGCACTTCATCCACTTTTTTGTCCTTTTTCGGATCGGGTTTCGGATTTTTTGCCGGCTGGGATACTTCCGTCGTTGGTACGGCTGTACCTGGTTTAGTAAAACCTTAATATATTTCGTAGTCTTCGATTACACTGTACCACACAAAAAAAATCATAAGGTTCCGGCAATGGATTCTGGTAGAGGGGACAAAAAACAATATACGTTTTGAAAGTTTACTTCTGAGTTTTATTTTGGTGGTCAAAATTTCCTCCTCTGCACATTTATATGGGAAATCGGTGTAGGAAACCATGCGATTACGACGAAGAACATTTTTGTGTAAAATTTTAACAACTCAATAGATGGTCCTTTATTATCTCTTTTGTGAGAATGGGAAAAAATGCACATAAAGCAGGAATATAACGGGTTAAAATGTTTTTCAAAAATATTTGCCATTAAATTCTACTAAAAGTCTCTGAACACACCAAAGCTCAAAAGTCATCTTAAATGCCAACAACAAGTTTAAACCTTAAAAGTGTTCCTTGGGTTTAATTCTGTATTTATTCCGAATTGGTTTTAAAATGTCCCACTAAACGGAATTTTAGGGCTTTAGTGCATAACGAATTTTTTTTTTTTGGTAACATTTTCTTATGTCTCTGGACAAAAAAAAAATTATTTAGTAAAATTTTCTAAAAAATTTACAAAAAGGCTCGCCTATGGAGGAGTTAGAAAATTTAAAATGTGCCACGGAAATGTTCTTCGTCGTTTACATAAAACTACTGAACGCATCGTATGTCGAAAATGATATCACGCCGATTCTGCCGAATAAAACTCACACGTAAACTTTCAAAACGCCGATAAACTTGTCACTTCTACCAAAATCCATTGTCGAAACCTTTTCATTTTGTTGTTGTTGTTGTTGTTCTTTTCTGTAAAACGGACAAAAAACGTGCACCTATTGAAGAGTTAGAGGATTAAATGTTTCCGCGCAGTGGCTCCTAACCTCTACCGCTCCAGAACGGTCTATTGTTATTTCTACTGTCAGCTAGGCTGCTAATAGAACTCTAAAATACAACGGAACAACGTCCAAAGTTGCCAAAGAATGCGGAAGCATTCCCAACCTGCTGGAATAAAAATGCTCTTTCAATGTTGTACAACCAACCAACAATCCTTAGCTCTCAGTCGGGGTAATCACCGGACACTGCCTGATGGGCCAACGATTTTTACTGCAGTTCATGGGCGTAGCCAGGTAGGGGCAGGGGGGTGCTCGAGCCTCGCCCCCTAACTTTCAAATTTTCCTTATATATATATAAAATAGTACCCTGAAATGCCAGCTTAATAGGGTCGAGCACCCCCCCCCTAAATTTCATTCTGGCTACGCTGATGCTGCAGTTGCAAAAAAGGTGGAAAGCATCGAATATTATCCCTACCACTGTCCCACCCAAGCCAAAACGTACCAACGCTAATTCAACAAGTACTCTGTAGATTGCCTATCCGAGCTAAACCCAGCTAACATTTTCAATTTTCTATGCTATATAAAAGGCACTCGGTTCAATTATTAAGAGAGGGAAGGAAACAAGTGGCGTCCGCCACTGAGATCACAAGGGGCTTTTCCAGCCTACACCTGCCTCCATGCTCTGCGCGGCAAAGCGGCGAGCGGCTGAGCGGTGAGCGGCTTAAAATTAAAACATGAAATACTATTAAAGTGGCCACGCAATGAGCGGCATTTCTGAGCGGCGCCATACAGAAATAGAGCTCATTGCGTGGCCTCGGCCTAACCTAAGCATTTCTTATCCTCAACCATGCATGGACAAACGTTTCCTAAAGATTTAAGGCCTGTAAATCTAGGCCTACCTGACACGTACATTCGTTCCAAATAAGGCAAAGGAGGAAATGGTCTACTGCGCTGCAAACTTACCTTAATGAGCGTTTTACAGAATCTGCACTCTGTCAGGTTGTATTAAAGGTAGCATCCTCGCTGCAAAGCAAACAATTTTACGTTCAATTCTGACGTAAAATATGATGACAAGAGGCTGCAGATCTCCCAGTCAGATGACCAGTCATATGACCAGCAGATGTCTTGTAGGGTTTGAATACACACGTTGGTAGAAATTCGGATTCAGTGATGGCATTGTCGTAGATTTCACGAAAAATCGGACTACGATGGATTCAGTGATAGCCCCCAAATATGTTTCTTTAGAAAGTCAGAAGTTCAGTCGGTGTAAACTGCTCTGGTCCATCAACAGGGCGATGGACGACGACCAAGAAAAACAAGCGCGATAGCTGGACAATCTGAAAGATCTCTATCCGGCAGAGGCTGCGGTTTTCGCAGACCCCGCATGCAATGGAGCCGATCAGGTCAAATAAGAATGGGAAAGACTCCCACCAACGAATGTAGGGAACAAAGACCTCCAAAAGGTAATTAAAGTGACAAGAGGTAAGTAAAGACCGTGGGGTGACCGAGGAAAATAAGACTCAGCACACCTGCCAAAAGCATACGATAGAAACGAAAACAATGGGCTTGAGTGAAGCAAACCCTCGCCAACACGCGCAGGAAGCTTCTCGGAAGGCAATCATAAAGCTGGATCTCAGCGGAACCGACCTTCTTACCATCGAAAGATTAGCTACAGCATCCTCGAGGTCATACAAACTGAGACAGAAGCTCACCATTCCCGGCGTCACGACATCGCGCCAAAAAGGCTTGCGGGCAAAATGACCTCCTCACTCCATCGACAGCAGAGGAATCACGGCACTTCGCGCACAACACCTGAGAGCCGTTCAATCAATGTCTGGTTATCACAACCCCCTCGTTAATCATCATTATCTACATTTTCGACATCGTAAGTATAACATGTGATCGATACAGCAGTGGCTGTACTTAACCGGAGCTTCTACCTCCGATTTGTGTTAACCAGAAATTGAACAACCGGCTCTACGAGGATTGGAACTGAAGGCCGCCAGCCCCAGCTCACCGTTCGCAACATTACCCAGATGAGAGACACATGTTTTAGGGTCGTAAGACCTCGCCTTAATTGAACGCATCACCGCATGGATGGAAGAGGCAGGCTTGAATATCGAAATTTCGTTGAACTGTTTTACGGAATATCCTAATTATTTTCCTTATAAAAAAATTTAAAAAAGTAGGATTATGCTTTATAAACACATTAATTTTTATTTATATATTTATGTGTATGTATGTATTTATATTAAGTTTATATTCACTATTTTACTTCACAAATGAATGTTGCATTTCCTTAAAACCAAATTATATATTTCTGCATTCATACATCCATTTGCATTTTTTATACTTAAAAACTACAGTTGAACATTAATGTACGACTACTACAATTTGTGAGAAAATATTGTATCCAGCCATATAAATTGGCGCTGCATTTATGGCAACCTTTTTTTACAAGGAGAACAAATTTTTCTTTTAGATTATTGCTTCGCAAATGCAAAATTTCTTAAACAAACTTTTACATTGAGTAAAAAATATACGTATGTTGTTGTTAAGTAAAAAATATACGTATATAGGTTGCAGTATATGTATAAACAAAAACAAATATCTCACATAAAAAACAAGCTCATGTACGCTTATTGAACAAAGTAGACAATTTAAGTGTTTCTTTTGTTATTTCTTTGTTTTGCTATGTACTGCGTTAACCATAGTTATTTATGCGTGTGAGTATACTTTTAAATATCAGTGTGTAGCTTATATTTATTTTTTTTGCGAGATATCGGTTTTATTCAATTTGTTTCAGTTCATTTTTAACAAAACTTTTTATATTGTTTTTAATCTTGCTCAAAGCGGGAAGGTTACGAATTTAACTTTGAAACTTGCTCTTTGGAGAAAAAAAATTAAGTGTTATTAAAAAGTTTAAGGTACTTTTTAAAAAATGAAAAATTTATATTGAAACTTATTAAGTATTGTATATAAATAGATTATTTGGAAAAATTAGCTATTTAAATAGTAATTGTTTTTTATTTTATAAACAACGGTTTCAAATTAAAAGTTGGTTTGAAATTTTGGTATTTTGAAAAGTGCTTTTTTATCGAACAAATTATAATTAATTTAAAATAAAAACTAAAATTTGTTTCTGAAAAATTAAATATTTTTGTAAAAAATTTATTTTATTAAAAGAATTATTTTAGAAAAACGTTAGAATTGAAAGAGATTAAAATTTATTAAGAAAAATTATTAAAATTTATTTAGGAAAGAAGTTTAAATTATTTTGATAAAAATTTAAATCACTTTTCAAAAAAAAGTTTAATTGAATATTAAAAAAAAAATCTAATTGAAGATATTTTTTTTTTTTGGAAAATTAGTGATTTAAAAGTAATAATGTATTTTATTTTCTAAAGAAATGGTTTTGAATTAAAAGTTGGTTTGGATTTGTTTTCTTTATGTATTCTGAAAAATGCTTATTTATGTCGAAAACATTACAATTTATTAAAAAAAAAAAATATTTTAAAAAAACGTGCAAAACGTCAAAATTTAAAGAAATTTAAAATTTATGTAGAAAAATTATTTTAAAAAGTGTTAAATTTACTTCGAAAAAAATTTAAATTTGTTGTGTAATTTATAAATTTCTTTTAAAAAAAATTTCAATTGAGTAAGATTCAAAATTTTGTTTTGAAAAAAAATTATTTAAACTCGAAAAAAATTATTTATTTTGAAAAAACCTTTATTTTTAAAGAAAGAACTTTACTTACAAGAGAAGAAAATATTTAAAAAAAACTACATATTCTTTATTTCAAAATAGGGTAGCCAGTTGAGAACTATTATTTTTTATAAATATAGACTTGCTTAAAATGCCTTTTGGCCACAAATTCAGCTCATTTTGCAGCACTTTTATAAACAATCACACTTAAGGCTGCAATAAGGAACTAGATTTAGTATATATTGCAGTTTCGTTTATAATTAAACAACTCTGAAAATGGACTTTGTATTCATTTGTTATAACTTTTGTTAAAAAACCTAGCAAATTAGTAGCTGGCTGTTAAGTTATACATATCTATACAAATATATTTTTTCAATGAAATTAATAGCTCGCTTACAATTAAATATAGATGCATGTATATACTTTAGTATATACTTAAATTAAATGTAGAACTGCATTAAAATGATGTCAATGGTTTTAAAATTTTTTTGCAGTAGCGATTTTTTTTTTAATTTTTTGCAAAATGTTTTTTTGTTTAATGTTTTTAATATATATTTTTTGTTTCTTTTTTTCAATATTCCAAAAAGTTGTATTTTAACTGCTTATTTTGTTCCACTTCAAATACTATACTCTTTCTAGGGACTTTCAATTCAATTTCGAATTTTTTAATCTCTCTTTAACTTTGCAGACATGCTTATGCAGATCTCTTTTTAGAGCTCTTTTCGTTTTTAGCTTCTGATTTGCACTCTAACACATATTTTTTATATAATAAATATTTGGAATTTCGTAATATATGTATGTATGAGTTACTTTTTAGTCATCTAATATTTTTTGAATATTTAATTTTGAATTTTTTTCCTAGTTTAGCTAAAAATACGGGCAAATCGGAATTAAGTTTTAGTCAATTTTATTTTAATCACAACTTTTAGTGATTTTTTTTTTTATTATTAATTTTGTGTAATTCAAACGACTTTTAATTAATCTTTTGCGTTAATGTTACGTATGAATGATTTGGAATTTTAAAAGTACAAAAAAATTAAAAACCAAAAATTAAGTATTAAAAAAACCAAAATGTAAATAAAAAACATGCATATGTATGTATGTAGGTACTATATAAACAAAAACATAAAATACACATATGTAGGTACTATATAAACAAAAACATAATATATAAAACACATATGTATCACAAAAAATAAAAATAAATAAAAAATTAAAAATGTAATCAAAAATATTTATAAATATGTATACACAGTACTTTCAACAGGAAACTAATCGCATTTTTTGCCTTTTATAAATATGAATATCAATTGTGCCTTTATATAAAACTGGAAAACATTTCTACATATGTATATATGTATGAAAAAATCATTCCAGGAGTGGGTGTCTGAACATGTGGAGAATGATTGGAGCTAAGATTTTCTAACACATGAATTCTTCTTTTGAATGACAAAACACTAAAACCTTTTTATTAAAACTGGTACGACCTAAAATCAATTATGCCGCGTAGTGACAGCAAAATTTAAAAACAAACTCATGCATAAATAATAATTAATGAAATAATAAATTTAAAAAAATGTATGATTTTCCAGAAATAAAATAATACATCTTACCACCCTGTTGGAAAAATCAACCAACACCAACATACAAATAAAATGTTATACTAAATAAATGCATTTTGATACTTCAAAGCAAACAAGAAACATTGTATACGCATAAAAAATATATGAGTAAATATATTAAATTTTTTCGATATATGTACATATTGGTTTTACATTGTCCTTGCTTTTACCTAGTTCCGCGCCATAACAAATTTAGTAGTTGCAGTCATGAATTATAAAAAAAAAATGAATACCGTGAACAATCTTGGAATGCCAATTAAAATAAAATCTATAAAGACAAATATCAAAAGTATTTCCTGCATTTTCAGCGATAAAATTTTTTTCAAACGAAAGTACCGTACATGGACTCAAAAAAGGAAGATTTTATTTATGACGCCTTTATAACTGAAACAAAAATGTAAAAAATATCCTTCGAAAACCATTTTTCCTTCATCCAATTTAATTTTCCAGCATATTAAAATAGCACAGGTTTACAAAAAAAAAAAATTTCTCTATATCTCTATATTATTCGACGCCCCGAATGCGACTCCAAAGTCTGGTAGCCTCTATCACGTCAGGTTTGTGGTCATTTAAAGGTAGAGTAGGGGAAAAATTCATTCAATAAACCTGAAAATTCACATATGGGGCGATTTACGACAAATGCACTAGGCGCGCTAAGAGGTGCAAAACTAGCTGGGAAGCAGACTGAAAATGGGGAAAATAATTCGAAAACTATGATTTCTATAGATTTTTGTACGGGCTATCCGATTATTCTATACGTTTTCCGAAATTGTCCCATTTTCATGGTGAAAATTCTAAACGAAAATTTATTTGTAACTTTTCTCAATTATGATAATTGTATCTATTTTCAAAATTTCATTTTTATACTCATTTTGTTTGTTGGTGTTGCCGATATTTCAATTTTATATTTATGTTCCAAAAACAAAAGTTTCCAACTTGTGTTTTTTTTTTATTTTCTGAATTTCTTTCTCTTAATAATTCGACTTCTGTTGATCTACATACAAGTTAAGCAAATACGAGCATGAGTGCAATTTTTAAATGTCGTAAAATCGATCTTATTAACAAAAGGGAATGATTACTTGCAACAGATTGTAAATTTCTAAATCCGTATTTTTTATTCTTTGAAAACGCATTTGTTATCTGAATTTGAGTGTTTTTTTCCTTACATAAACTCTTTTTTTTTTGTGACATTCATATAGAAAAATATGTTTAAACAAATTAATTCCAAATTAAAAATTTCAAGTTTATTTTTTGTTCATAAATTTTATTTACTTTTATTAAGATTTTTTTAAGACAGATTTTACATTTTCGCTCTAAGAACATTTTTTTTTAATGAGTTGTTTGCCTTTCATTTATTTGGCAAAAAATAATGCATAATGGGTGCTTCCAAAAAATGTATAGAAAAGTTAAATAGAAAGAATTATAAATTGATTAAAAATAACAAAAAAAACTTTAATGCAAGAGTCCATACGTTAAAGTAAACGTATATGCATTTGTTATGTGTAAAAATATGTTAAAAATCATGCAAATCTTCGCCTGCACTGCTTTTCAGCTGGCACACGGCTATATATTCCCCCTTCTATGTATACATACTTTGTGATACGCCCGCACATTTGCGCTCCCGCTCTTTTTCTTCCTTTCCCGTCATTAATTTGTTTTTCGGCTTATCTCTTCAATTTTGGACTTATCAAACTAAACTTAATTATTTTTACTTTTATTTTACTTTTCATTAGCTCCTTAAAACTATTCAATTCAACGGCCACAGCAGCGCTTCATCATCCTCATCGTCATCGTCCACCAATACGGTGTCACCACGTTGCGACCAATTTGGAAATTGTTCTTGTACCGCATCCACGGCATCCAAGTCAATCACTTCTGTGCTTTCAGCCGCGATAAAAGTGCTGCTTTGCGGCAACAAACGTTGCTCCTCAAAGTCCGCATAATAGGTGTCTTCCTCCAGCTGCATATACGCATTGTCACTCAAATTCATATTATCATCGGCAACATCATCCTCCTCAATTGTTATTGGCTCCAGATCGACTGGCGCCTCGTATTCCATGCGCACCGCACCACCACCAGCGCCAACACCAACGCCACTATCACGAGCGCCACCGCCATTGCCAACATTTGCCGCATTGGCGGCGGCGGCAGCGGCCGCATTCGTCTCCCCATCGACGTCCATCAGCCAAGTGTGCACCGTACTGACGCTGGTGCGCAAGCTGCTGTTGTCATCATAGCTAGGCGTGCTGGCGCTATTCTTCACACCCACCATATTTTGATAGATATTCACATCGTTGTGTCCTAGCTGCACGGTTGGCACTGCCTCGACATGTAATCTTCCACCACTCAGCAGACAATTCGGTTCAAAGTGACGTCGACAAATTTTGAAATTCATATTCTCATGCAATTTTGGATAGTAGTCAATTTTAAGATTATGGCACCATTTCGTGCATAGATTTCGCTGTGCGGGGAAGTTATATAGTTGCTGCATTTCATGGCAGATGCGAACTATGCACTTGCTGCGATATGGCGCTGGCGGTTTGAGTATATGTGCTGCAGCTGTGGGTGTGCGATTGCGCAGATGCATGGTAGGACGTGCGCCAAGCCGCAGGGTGCCGTTGCTGTTGAAGCAGTCTGCACGGAAGTGGGCGCTGCAGATTTTCTTGTCTGTGTTGCGATAGAGTCCTTCGTCGATTTTGAGTATTTGACACCATTGACGATAGAGGTCGCCTGTAATTTAGAGAGATGAGATATTAAATAGTTTGCTTAGTACAATTCTAAGTTGAACCAAATACATATTTTGTTAATTTAACAATAAAAATATTCCTCTGAATATGTAACAGCCAAATTGCCTTTTAAGAATATCGTCCAAGAGACCACATATGTATGTATGTATGTATGTATAAAATGTGGGGAATGAGGGCGTCATAAAAGTCTAAACCAGGCTAAATTAATGATGTGGGAATGGTTGGCAAAATGGCTGTCGNAAAATGTGGGGAATGAGGGCGTCATAAAAGTCCTATGGAGACATTGTAAACCAGGCTAAATTAATGATGTGGGAATGGTTGGCAAAATGGCTGTCGGTTTTGGTCTGTTTAGCTTCGCCAAAAATTATTGAACCGGATGCGGAATATTTTGAACTATCATGAGTTCATAAGAATTATTTTTGCTCACTTCTAAAACAGCCGTGAAGAGCCATACCTCGCTAGTTTATCTGCAGGGATGCATATTATAGCGAGAAAACTTGTTAAGGCTTCTACCACTATGCCACTCTAAGATAAACTGCTTCGAGAGCAGGCAATTTTTTCATTCATAACAACAAACAAATGTATTTTATCTTGAAAATCATTATCTAAAGACCTGAGATGACATCCTTTGCCCAACAGAGCGCCATGCTCAGGTATTTTTTCAACTTTCTTCGTTGCTTTCGCTCGTTCCGCCCTTCCATTCTGTCCCAGTCTTGTATTTGGTGGATGGTGTGGAGATAAAGAAAAGACCAGTACAACAAATATACAGGCAGGTTCTGCAATTCACTTCCGAGTGAATTTCAACCCCTGCCAATTTGAATTCTACGCGAATCCGACTCAAATTCACTCGGAAGTGAATTGCAGAACCTGCCTGATAGAGAACTATCAATGCCTGTCTGCTATAAAATATAAGACGAAATTGGCCGTTGGCTGTGAATTTTCTGAGGTGATTGTCCTCGCAAAGGTTGCACCAGCCTATCTGGTAAAGCCATCTAACCGGTCATCAGCCAAATGACGCCGTAGTAGTGATTCACCTACAGGCCTGATGAAACAACGTACCTCGAACCATAACCGCCTACAGCCTTCCGATTGAGAAGAAACGGAAAAATGCGACACGACTACTGCTCTCTTGAATCTGCCAAAAGACTGCACCTGTTAACCACGACATAAGATCTAAAATAGTGCAACTTCGATAAACCTAACCCATCGTCAGTTTTAGCTCGTAGACACCACCTGATTCGTTATAGAGATGCAATTACGACTCACCTTTGGGAAAATTGAAGAACTCCACTCCATCTTTGCTCTTCTTGCGCCCACAGTGCGGCAGACAACATTTCATTTCCGCTTCCGCAGGCCGCTCCACACTGTGTATAAGTTTGCTATTATGTCCTAAATGCAGAGTGGGTACAGCCCAAACACGCAAGCTATGACCGCCGATGCAGAAAGGTTCGAAATGCTCGCTGCACACATTGTAAGAGCCATCTCGGTAGGTGCGTGGATCGATTTTCAAATTGAAACACCATTTGGTGAATAATTCAAAATCATCTGGGAATTTCGAGAAAATTTTCAAATCCGGGCGTGTAGCGGTATTATTGACGCAGTTAGTTACGCTGCAGGTAATAGCGCTTAATTTTGGCATCGCTGCGGGTGACGCTGTGGGTGGTGCTGCTATTGGCCGGCTGGTGATGGAATTTGTCAACGGTTTTGCGGCTGGTGTGATTGTCGGTGCCGCCGCCGCCGCCGCTGCCGCAACCGGTGAGGGTGCTAATGCGACCGGTGGCACTGCCATTGGCGCGGGTAGACACAATGTTGGCACAGCATTGTTGTTCAGACCGTTCGGGCCAAAGCAATCGGCTTCAAAGTGCATTTCACAAACGCGCAGCTCGGCATGTTGTCGCGCATCGTATCTGATTTGTGTGCGCTCCGACCATATTTTAACGAAGACATTGTTGCTAGGGAAGGGAAATAGGCGCCGCTTTGATTGCATCTCCACACAAGCGGCCACATTGCATTTCAGTGGCTTTTGACTTGTTACCCCGCATGTCGCAGCCGCGTTGGTGCTGCTTGGCTGCAGTCGGGCTGGAGGCGGTGGTAGCGCTGGTAGTGGTGGTGGTAGTGGTGAAAGCGTTGCACGTTTAGGCATCTTCGACGGATCGACAGGACTATGGCGATAGATATCCGTGCTGTTGTGGCCCAGGTTTAGCGTTGGTATAGCGTCTAGCACCAAGCGTTTGTTGTATTGATCGTGTTCGAAATGTGCACTGCATATCAAGTGTGTATTGCGCTGTGTCTCGTTGAAGCGCACGCGCAAATTGTATTCCCAACGTTGCAGAAAGACGGGCTCTACGGGGAAACGGAATAGACGCACGCCGGACTGGCGTGTACGGCCGCAATGTGGCAGGCAACAACCACGTATTTTCGCCGAACCGCCTCGCACTAACCTCATTGAGAAGAAGGACGCATGCGGCGTACCCTCTTTCACCGGCATAAGCTTCTCCTCGCGTATCACATCCAAAAGTGCATTTTCACCTTCATCCATACCATAGGCATCATCATCATCATCATCATCATCATCGTAATCATCAGCATCATCATCGCTTGCTGTATAGGCATAAGTGCTAGGTTTCGTTGTGGAGCCCACTTTGGGCGGTGGGCGTTCGATTGGTGCAAGCAAATCCATATCTTCTTGCTGATAAGCCACTTGCTTGGGCATTTCCGCAGCAGGCGGCGAAGTGGAACTATCATCATTTGTTGTGTCCATGGTATCCTCATTGTCAGCTGCTTCAGCGTAATTATCTGTATTGGTATTTTTATAAACCCGATCGTAGTCGGGTCCTTTGGGTTGTAGTTGTGGTTTTTTAGGATTCTCATTTGTGAAGAGTTTGGCTGGTGCATGTTTGCCCAAATTCATGGTGGGCACCGCCCATCTAAACAATTTCGCCTTGTTTTCGTAATGTATAATGCAATGGTTCTCAAAGTGTTCGCTACAAATTTGATAGCGCCAAGGCGCTTCGCCATCGTATTTAATGCCTAAATTATGCACCCACTTATCGAATTGAACCTGCAAGGTAGGGAACTTAAAGGTGCGTACATTGTCTTGGAATAATTGTTTGCGACAGTGTGCCAAACAACACTTGCGTGAGCCAGGTATCATTTTATTGTAGCCATCGGAGGTGGTAGTGGTCGCCGCAGCGGCAGCTGCTGCTGCGGAGGTGGATGGACTGTGAAAAGAACAGAATTTGAATGATGAATTACATATATGTTTGCAAATGAAATGTAAATAATAGCAAGCAAAGAAATAAACAAATCCCTGTTCGCTGTATCGTATGTACTATGTGATCACAAAAAGCATGGATTCATTTCAAAAGTCTTGACGACTGTGTATCGCAAGATAATCTGAAATAATNGACAGCCGGGGCTAATCGATAAACGCGCCGTTGGTGTTATGCACTCTTTTTCCATATAAGAAATTACTTTGTATGGAAGAAAATGTGTGATACCGTCAGCAAAAAAATTATCAAAAATCAACGGGATTTNTTTGACAGCCGGGGCTAATCGATAAACGCAGTCAGCGCCGTTGGTGTTATGCACTCTTTTTCCATATAAGAAATTACTTTGTATGGAAGAAAATGTGTGATACCGTCAGCAAAAAAATTATCAAAAATCAACGGGATTTTTTTGCGAATTCACACTTGCACTCTATTATGCTAGAATTTAGTAAGCTATAAAACTGCATACCAAAAACTATTGTAGAAATTAAAATTAAAATTAAATTAAAATCGGGTTGAAAAGTTTGTGGAATTTTTATAATTTTTGTACAAAGTATGAAATTTAGATTTATCTGGTATTTGTTAGATAAAGAGCTATTCTTTTATATAAAAATAATAAACCTTAAAAAAAGCAAGAGAAAAGAAGTCGAAACTGGTAAAAATTGTGATGTGCCATATTTTGTCGCGGGGTGTATATAGCCAAAAAATACTCTCAAATTCATTAGAATCCATATAAACAAGCAACTAACTAAATACTTTTCAACTTAAATTAGTAGAGAGCACTTTTTTTTTTTTTGTTTATAATTTGGTTGTCAAACAGTAAAATCTAACGTATTCTAATGGTGATAATTTAATCATAAAAATTTCGATAACGATAATATATCCACAACAAAATTATTTTAATAAAAAAACATCGATTCCAATATACGTAAACACGTGGCAATAGCGATGACTACAAGGCTAATGTAGATAACATAGATAATGAAATCAATAACAGTAGTAATATTCATTTAAAAGTCGACAATTACTAAAAAATTGCGATCATATCGACAATAATGCTGATATCCATAATAGCTTGCGTAAAGATAACTATATCGATAACAACCCTATATTGATTTCAATATCCAATCGATTTCAAAATCCGATCGATTTTAAAATCCACAATAATAGCAACAAAACTATACTCATGTAGAATTATCGACTAAAATATCGACGGAAATAGCGGTGACGACAAGTACAGCATATAGAAGATCGAAAAAAATGTATCAATTTAAACAGCAATAACCATCAAATGACCATAACTATAACATAAATAAAATCGATAAGAAAATCAATAACTGTAGTAATATTTATAATAAAGTCGACAATTATTAAATATGGTGAAAATATCGATGAAAACAATGGTAAACATGAAAATGTAGATAGCGATAATTATATCGGCAACTAAACTAAATCGATTACAATATCCACAGAAATAGGGATGACAATAAAACTAAACCGATATAAAAATATTTATTTATATATACAATTTTTTTCTTTTTTTTACTTTTGAAATTAATTAATTTGGAATTGCATTTTTACATTAGAAAGCCTACAGTATTAGTTAAAAATACCCACAGAGAAACTAAGTAAATCCGAAATACTTATGTGATTTCGAAGGTAACGCTAGTAATAAGCGGTAACGCTAATAAAAAATAAAGAAGTAATTTTTTCGAAAAATTTGCGTTATGGAATTCTTTTATTATAATTTTTCTTTTTTTTTTGGTAGTGTATTACCTAATACCCACCCAAATTGCTAATTAGNCGAAAAATATGCGTTATGGAATTCTTTTATTATAATTTTTTTTTTTTTTTTTTTGGTAGTGTATTACCTAATACCCACCCAAATTGCTAATTAGTCTTTTAAAGGGGAAACCATTACAGGTCCATGGTCTTAATTTTATGTATTTAAAACTCTAAAAACCAGGTGAGAATTGCCGACACATGCTAAGCGAATGAAATCATACATCACCCAGCTTGGCACACATCAGCAGCTACATCACACCAAAATATCGCCCAGGGTCGGGAAATAAAATCAAGCTAAAACCATCAAATCACTAACCGTTCATCCAGTGGCTCCTCAGTCGTATTCCATAACAACACATCCTCGTCATCCTCATCGTCATCTTCCTCATCATCCGTTTGATTAAATTCGTCAATTTTTAAATTGCGCGTCGGTACAGCATCCGCTTGCAGAACTTCACCATCGAAATCGGACGCCTTGAAATGCCATTCGCAGATTTTATAATCGTCTGGACGTGAACTATTAAATTCCATGCCGAGTGCAGCCAGCCATTTATCGAGCATTTCCTTTTCGATTGGAAAAGCAAAATGACGCGTATACTCGCGCCTGCTGTACTTGCAATTTATTAGACAGCAAATATCTTGTTGCGTTTCAGAAGCCAGCCGTGAATGCTGCAAACGCGGCCCATCAACCTGTGCGTCGGTTGCATTACTAAAACCATCCGAGTAGATCTTTGTATCTGAGTGACCCAAACGCAACGTGGGCACTGAGCCAAACTTTAATTGGCGCTTAACGCCATAGAAACAATTTGGTGAAAAATGCAGCGTACAAATGCGTATGCGCGAACCAACTGTGGAGAGGGTTTCCTCACTGAAACGGCAATTATATACCCATTTCTCGCGCAACGTAGAATGCGTGGGCAACTTGTGCAAATGTAGGCCCTCGTGCAGTTCATGATATTTGCTAGTGCAGTTGCGTACGGTGCAAGCAAGCAGCGGTAGCTGTGAGCCGCTCGTATTTGATAAACATTCTGCGCCTGAGTAAGGCACCAATTGTTGGTTATCATTAGCGGCTGCGTAAGAACTACTCGATTCTGCTTCATCGTTGTATTCGTTGCTTGGCAGCGCATTATTCGTTGTCGCAGTTATTTTTGCGGTAGGCAATTTAGTTTTAAACTTCCTCAAGTGATTTACATCGAAACTATTTTCGTAAATGTGCTCCGGCCGCGTAGGACCCAAATTCAGCGTTGGCATGGTGCCGGGCGGCAACTTGCGGAATTGCCTGCAAATCGGGTCGAAGTGGCGCTGGCAAATGCGATAACGCCAACGACGTGTATAGTCCACCTTAAGTTGGGTGTTGTGTAGCCATCTGCGGAATAGGTATTCGGATAGCGGAAATTTGAAAAGCGTAACGTTGGGATCTTTGGCGTGACTGTTGCAATCGGGTATGCGGCAATGTCTGGAAGTGTCGCGGTCTATCGGCGTGGAGTCCATATAATCTTGGTAGTCTTCGTGTTGCTGCGCGTCGAAATCAGCCTCTTCATGCTGCGTGACGCCAGTACCAGTGGCAGCGGCGGCGGCGAATGAGCTGCTCGTTTCGCCTTCATCATTCAATTCACTGATGCTTATGCTGGGGCCAGTATCAGCTATAGGTTGTGGTCTAGTTTTATACTTCTTTAAAGTGTTCATATCGAATTCGTTGTCATAAACATGCGACGGCCGTGTAGGACCCAAATTCAGCGTAGGCATTGAGCCGGGCGGTAGCCTACGGTATTGCGTGCAAACTGGTTCGAAATGACGATGGCAAACGCGGTAACGCCAGCGACGAGTATAATCTGCTTCAAGTTGGGTATTATGCAGCCATTTACTGAACTGATCTAGATCGCAGGGAAATTTGAAAAGAATGGTGCCGGGTTGACGGGCATGGCTTGTGCAACCTTGTATGCGACAATGGCGCGCGCTGTCACGTTCCACAGGCGTTGACTCAGTTGCTAGTTCGGCTGTCTCATTAGCATCGTCAGCTTGCTCGCCTGTATCGCCAAAGCTATTGAACATATCCAGCAGGCCTTGCTTCATTTGATTCTCGATATCTGCATCGGGTTCATCCTTGACGTTGATGATAAATGGTTTATGATATGGTTTTGGCGTTGCGGGTTTTGTGGGCGCATCTAATTTTTGGCTGCTGTTTGTCTGCTCTTCCTCGTCTTCTGTCAATGCAGCTGTCTGCTTATCCTCGACTTTCTTAGCTACCGGAGTTATGGGCTCTTGGCGTAACTCACTTCTTCCTTGCGACGCTTCAGTTTTAGCTTTCGTTAACTCGGACTTTTTAACCACTTCTAACTTTGCCTTTTGCTTTCCGCTCTCCTTTGTGTCTTCCTTTACATACTCCTCTACATCTTCTTTTGCGTCCTGCTTGGCTTCTTCCTTTGCGTCCTGCTTGGCTTCTTCCTTTGCGTCCTGCTTGGCTTCCTCCTTTGCGTTCTTCTTTGCGTCCAAATTCACTGCCTTCTCTTCCTCTTCATGCTTGCTGCTCTCCATCTCCGCTGCCACTCGCTTGTCCAACGGATTCTGATAAATATCGGTTTTGTTGTGACCCAACAGTAGCGTAGGCACCGCATACATACGCAAACGCTTGTTAATGCAATGCTTTTCAAAGTGCAAAGCACATATGCGCGCATGCGTCGCCGACACCATGCTTATCTGCGTATTATAAACCCATTTGTAGAGCAATTCGGCATGGTTGGGAAAATTGAAGAATTGTACATCGCTCTCAGTCGCATCCTCACGCTCCTCAGGCGCCTTGGCATGCACGCAGCTGGGTATACAACATTTATTGACTGCTGACTGCAAAAGCAATGCAGCGCGTCTCGATTCGGGCACGGATTCAGGTGCTGGTAGTGGATATATTTCGGGCATGCTCTCATCGCGTGGCGGTAGGTTGAGTGTTGGAACCGCCCACATTTTCAAGCGCTGCACTTTCTTGGCCGGTTTTGATGGTGCGCACACATCATCGAAATGCAGTTCACATATTTTGTAGCAATACAAGCGATCCGGATCAACCGTCACCTGGGTGTTGTGACACCACTTGGCACGCATTTCCGGGTTATCGGGGAATTTGAAGAATTTGATGGACTCGGTGGTGAGATAATTTGAATTGCAGCCTGGCACGGCGCAGCTGATGCGACGTACGCAAGACATATCGCAGACTTTTGCAAAGGTTTCCGCGATCTTTTGCAAACAACGCTTAATATCCGGCTGGTTTTTAGCTTCCAATGACTTCAGCATAGGCTCGTGTTCCATGTAGAGCAACCTGAAGTGCATTGGACATATTTTGCGTGAGGCTTTCGTCGGTAACACTACGTCGTCTCCTTCTTCCTCCACGTCATCTTCCTTTACATCCGCATACTTTTCTTCAGCTTCTGCCTCATCACCAAAGCCAATACTCTCCAGCCATTTACGCCTGATAGCATACAATTTAGGAAACTCGAAGAGCTGGTTTGTCAAACGCAATTCTAGTTCCTTGCAGCCCGGATAACAGCAAACTTCAATGGGCGCCTTCAACGGCTCAGCTTTAATCGGCCAACGTTTGCGTTTAAGTGGATGACTCATCGCCTCCTCGCTCACAGTATACAAATCCTCTGTGTCATCATGTCCCAGCTTCAGCGTCGGCATTGCGCCCACTTTTATGCGGCCATGTTCATAGCAGTAGCTCTCGAAGTGATCACTGCAAACTTTGTAGGTGTGCCAGACGGTTGAGGTGATTGGCAGCCGCAAATTTTGCGCCCACTTCTCGAATTGGCTACGCGTTTTCGGGAATGCGCTCAACTGAACGCCCTCGGTCTGCTTGGTATTAGTGCAGCCAGGCACACAGCAGCTTATCAATTTTTCCGGGCGCTCAAATGACTCTGGATTCTCAAAGATGTCCGCGTCGTTATGACCCAGCAGCATTGTGGGTAAGGCGCGCAGCAACAAACGGTCACGGCCCACGCAGCGCGGCTCAAAGTGCATGTTGCAGATGAGCGCGTGCCGACAATCAGCCACTTTCATGCGCAAATTATGACACCACTTTTCTAAAACCTCAGCGCGTTCTTGGGAGGGAAACTTGTAGAGACGCACGCCATCCTCTTGCGGCGTGCGTCCGCAGTGCGGCACGCAGCAACGCTTACGTTCGATTTCCGGCAGTGCGGCGGTTTCAAATACGCTTTGGTGTATCTGCAGATCGTCGTGACCCAAATTTAGTGTAGGCACGGAGCCCTTACGCAAGCGTGTACCCTCGCGCTTGAAGCAATCGGCCGTAAAGTGATCGCCGCATAGCTGGAATCGATAACGTTTGGCTTGGTATGGATAGTGGCGGCAATTTTCGGCCCATCTCTGTAGCATTTCACGTTTGGTGGGGTAGTTGAATAGCGTCACTCCATCCAATTTCGATTTCATACAGGAGATTATGGAGCAGTGATTGGCGCGCACATACCGCAGCTCACCCCACACGTGTTCCTCGGGATGAAAACGCGCCAGCTGCTTTGGATTCGCGTGTACAGCCGGTAATGGCACGCCGTGTTCGTCAACGCCCAGCTCTAAGGTTGGCAAAGCCCATGGACGCGGCTTATGATTACCCATTACGTGCGGCTCAAAGTGGCGCGCACACACTTTCGCCTGCTTGGCCTCTTCTTCGCTTAAGCGTGTATTGTCCCGCCACTTCTGACGCAGCCAATCTGGCTTGGGGAAGCGATAGAGCGCGCTAGTGTCAGCCTCACGCTCACAGCCGGCTAAAGAACACTTGTCTGTAATACCCGAAAGTGTTGATTGCACCACCTTCGGGCGCGCAATCTTTGAAGGCGTTTGTGAGCGCCGCGGCGCTGCGGCATTTTCGTATGCCAGCACTTCAGCGGGTGATGGATTCTCTAGCACCTTATTATCGTGTCCTAAATTGAGTGTGGGTATGGCCCAACGCTTCAGTCGGTTTAAGCCTATGCAGCGCGGCTCAAAATGAGAGTCGCATATTCGCCGATGCCTCACCTCCTGTTCGCCAATGGCCAAGTTGGGCCACCATTTCGCCAGCACGCTTTTATCGTGTGGAAAAGTGAAGAGACGTACATTGTCGCGGCTACGACGCTTGTTGCAATGCGGCAGGCAGCAACGCTCATTCGTTACCATTAGCTTCACCTTGGGGTTGCGGAAGATATCGGCTTCATCGTGTCCCAAATCGATGGTAGGTAGCGCCCACGGTTGCATTTGTGGGCGTAAGCATTGCGCCTCGAAGTGGAGCGTACAGATGCGCGCATGACGGCATTTTACAGCGGGCATGCGTACATTATGCGCCCATTTTTGCAGCATGTTGTCTTTTTTTGGGAAGGCGTATAGTCGTATGCCCGCATCCACATCGCGCTCCTGGCGGCACGTCTTAATGCAGCAGTTGTAGAAGAGCGCGGCGCTGTCCGGATTCTGGTATATATATGTGGAACGCTTGCCGGTTTTGGATTGCTTGCTAGGTTTGGGTAAATGCAGTGTCGGGACCGCCCAGCTGCGCAACGCCTTGCCAATGCAATACGACTCGAAGTGGCGGCTGCAAATGCGCCAACGCCGACTTGTGTGGCTGATTTTTTCATTTTGGGCGCTGAGTCCTAAATTATGACACCATTTCTCACGCAGCGCGCTATCTTGTGGGAAGTGCCACAAACGCGTGGTAGCGGCAGCTGCTTTATCGCCATTATCACCTACGTGCTCTTGTTTCTTTTCATCCGAACTGCAACCTTCAACGCAGCAATGGCTGGTGCCTACAACGTCCATGCTGGGGTTTTCAAAGAGATTGTATACTGGATGGTGACTTGGCGGCTTCGGTAGACGCAGCGTTGGGATGGCCCACATGAATAGGCGTTTCTTGGCAAAGCAGCGCTCCTCAAAATGCAGCGCGCATACTTTATACAAGTAACGGTGCGATGAACTAAACGAGACTTGTGTGTTGTGCTGCCACTTGGCGCGCAATTCCTCGGAGCTGGGAAACGCGGTGAGCCGCACGTTGTCAGTGAATTTCGTCGAACAGTTGGGTACGCAACATTTCAGCATCTGTATGCGCGTTGAATTGGTTATGCGCGCATAATTTGCTTCTAGCTCCTCCAACGCGGCCGAGTTGACTTTGCGCGCGCCGTCATTATTTGTCGCCATTTGATAGCCCTCCATGTAGTGCAACGCGCAGAGGCGCACATTTTGAAAGAACTCAGATGCGTCGCCACCAGCCGTGTTACTAAGCGTTAAATTGAAGTAGTTGCACCAGCGCTCTTGCAGTTTCTGTACATCGGGCAGTGCGAAGAGCTGCATTTGCAGAAATTGCGCCACTCTGCAGTCGTGTACGGCGCACTCGTTGACACCTTTTTGCGCATTACCCTTGCGCCTGCCAACCTTGCGACGTTTTTGCGGCAACAATGCATTATCAGTATCGACCTTCAAATTGTCCTCGTGGCCCAATTTCAGCGTCGGCACGGAACCGTATTTAAGTGTGGCGCGATCGTTGCGTTGATAACTAAGGCAGCTGGGCTCGAAGTGCTCGCTGCAGACTTTGTAAACTTGCACCAAGCGTGAGGTGGGCACCAGCCTCAAATTAGAGGTCCATTGGAGATAGAGCGAACGCAGTTTAGGAAAACGAAACAGCGTTACGCCGTCTCCTTGATGAGACTTGCCGCAATTCGGAACGCAGCAGCGGTTATAGGCGCTGAGTTGCGCCGAGAACGTTTGACTTGTGTCAGCTGCAGGTGGGCTAGGAGCCTCAGCAACTACTTTCCGATTCATTACATGTGACGTGTCAGTGATTTTTGCTTCCTCTGCTGTGTTATAAAAATTGCGTGTCGGTATCGCACCAAAACGCAAGCGCCTGCGCCGCCTATCCACTAGGCTGTAGGCAAAGTGTTGTTGGCATATCCGCAAGCGTGGAGCTTGTGACAATTTAGCGCCCAAACGCGCGCACCATTCGCGACANGTTACATGTGACGTATCAGTGATTTTTGCTTCCTCTGCTGTGTTATAAAAATTGCGTGTCGGTATCGCACCAAAACGCAAGCGCCTGCGCCGCCTATCCACTAGGCTATAGGCAAAGTGTTGTTGGCATATACGCAAACGTGGAGCTTGTGACAATTTAGCGCCCAAACGCGCGCACCATTCGCGACAAAAGCGACTGTTGATGGGCGGGAAGCGATGTAGGGACCGGCCTGTTGCGCGTCCGCAGCGGCGCACAGCGCAATAAGTACCCGGACGCTGCCATTTGGCGGTGTGCGCTCTACTCGCCCTCTTCCTCTGCATCATCTGAGGCGCTGCTGACGCTTTGCTGCTTGTGCGCGTATTTTTTGTGTCAGGTGGCGGATCTGGTGGTGCTTTCTTCTTCATACGTTGCCTGAGGCAACATAGCCGAAAAACCGAGCGACTTAACTTGCCAGCGCCGCAACGATGTGCTGTCGATAAAGAAGCGCTTGCTGACGCTGACGCGGTTGCCGATGTTGTCGCTGAGGGGGAAGCAGAGTTGGAAGTGGTTGCGGTGAAGCGTGTCGTTTCATCCGCATTGCTGTAATTCGTATTCGAGTCATCACCAAATTGAGTGGGTGTAATGGATATAGGTCTCTTGCGTGCGTTTTTGTTGGCGAAACGGGCGCTGCTACTTCGTTTTGCTAATGCAGCTGAGGGGCCGCGCTTCAGTGCACTGCCATTTTCATTAGCGCATTTAACAAAATCGAGGGGGTCACATGCATTATAACTGCTTTTATCATCTTCATCATCGATAAGCATTTCAACATCATCGTCGTCTACTTCTGCGTCTTTGCTCTCTTCGTTATTGCCTTCGGCGTTGGCGACGCTTTCGCTATCCTCCGTATCCTCCTCATCATTGTACACATTCTCGGCAACGCTCTCGTCATCCTCAACCGACTCGTCATCGTCGTTTTCGTTGCCATAGACATCCTCAGCGTTCTCAATCTCTTCGTCATCCTCCTCTTCGTCTTCTTCATCTTCCTCTTCCTCTGCGTTATCATCATCATCGTCCTCTTCAGAGGCGTCATTTAATTTGACTTTTCTGCGCGCTCTAGCATTGCTGTATATTTCATCTTCGTCACCAGTAGCGGCACTAATGCTCGGCGTTAAATCTTCTTCCTCTTCGTCGCTGTTGACGACACCGGCAGAAGCATAGAAATCGTCTTCCTCCTCCTCCTCCTCTTCTTCTTCTTCATCGACGCGATAGTCATCGTCGTCATCATCATCATCATCATCCTTCTCCTCATCATTCTCATCAACGTCCTGCTCAGCGTCGCTGACATCGGATGGCATCGCTTTCTTCCTCTCCAGTGGCTGGAAACGTACAAATCATATATAAATATAAATCTCACTAATTATACCTGGCCACATATACTCACATTTTTCGTCTTCACCACGGCCGGTGCATTCGCAATCAGCAACTTATTGTCATATTCGAGCGGCTCGTTGTGTCCTAAATTAAGCGTCGGCACCGCGTTTGCGCGCAGCTTCTTATTGCCCATCGCCTCGGGCGGAAAGTGTGACATACAGATGCGTGCATGAATGGAGCGCGGCTTCATGCGCAGGTTCGCGCACCACTTGCGCATCAAAGTATCATCCTTCGGGAAGCCAAAAGTGCGTAAGTCGTTTTCGAGCGTGCGCCGCTGCCGGCAGTGTGACAAGCAGCACTTGGGCAGGAAGACGCCTGGAAGATTTTTAGGGTTCTCATAGATGGGCCCGTTGTGACCGAGCGCATTGGTGGGCTTGGCCCATGCGCGTAATACTTTGCCGTCAATGCAACGCTTGTGGAAGTGTAGACTGCAAATACGTAAGGCTGGATCTAGCGCCATATCGGGCGACATTCTAAGGTTATGAAACCATTTGCGTACAATTTGATTACTTGTTGGAAACGAGAATAGACGCACGCCATGTTGCAGGCGGCTGCGGCGGCAACTCGGCACGCAACATTTGATGATATCCAGCGATTTTTTCATTTTCACATTGGGCACTGCAGCCAAATCGCAGCCGTCGTCATCTTCATCTCTCTCACCATTGTTGTTTGCCGCGCCCACTTCATCAGCAGATTGTGCAGCTGGTGCGCCGGCCTGTGCTGGCGGCTCGTTCTGCAACAGCTCCTCAGCCTTGCGCTCCAACAGCAATGTTGGTACAGCCCAACGCATTAGGCGCGACTTCACAATACAGCGCGTTTCAAAGTGTTGCTCGCAGATGCGCAAGCGTGCGCATTGATTTCGTGTCAGCTGCAAATTGTGTAGCCACTTTTCCAGCACCTCTTCAATTAAGGGAAAACTAAAGAGTCGCATAGTTTCGAAGTCGCCGCGCTCACGCGCGCACGTTGCTACACAGCAGCGCGCTTCATGTGGTCGTGCGGCGGTGCCCAATTCTGGTATGCCGTGTATTTCGGCTGCAGTTGTGTGCTTAAGATGCAAAGTGGGTAGCGCCCAAGAGCGTAGACGCTGTGTAGGTCCAATACATTGCGGCTCAAAGTGGCGCGCACATACTTTATGTAGGTAGCCACTCAGGTCGGAGGTTTTAACTCCTACATTGTTGCACCATTTATCAATTAATTCCGCGCCACTGCCAGCCACGCCGGGGAAAGGATATAGGCGCTGCGCAGTACGGCTGCCGCTCACTTGATTGCTGCCACAGCCAACAACGCAGCATTGCGCACTGCAAACCGTCGGCGACGCGCGACATTTTTCATATGTAGCTTTTAGTGATTTCAAGGCCTCGTTCAATTCGTCGTCGCCATCAGCCAGCGCGTTGGCTGCATCCAGTGTGGATTTGTAGAGCTTTATAAAATGCAGACCACACAGTTTTGGCGTCTCGCTGAGCGCCTCCGCATCGACTTTCATTTGCGCGCACCACAAAGCATGAAGCGGCAAGGCGGCTGGCATGTCATAGGGTTCGCGTAGCAGCATTTTTGTTGCGCTACAATCGGGGTAGGAACATTTGTGTTCATTGCCTTTCTCTGCGGCGCCGGCGGATGCATCAAAATCAGCGGTTTCCTTCTCAACAACAACGCGCGGTCGATTTCTGCCGAAGAGAGAAATTTGTATTTGCGCTGGGTCGACGGGATAGAGGTCGTCTGTGTCGTCATGGCCGAGGTTGAGCGTCGGTATTGCGCCGTAGTGGAGCCGCATCTTACCCAAGCAGACGGGTTCAAAGTGGTCGCTGCAAATTTTATATTTATCCCGGTCCTTAAAATCAAGATAGTCCAATTTCAGATTGTGTTTCCAGCAGCGGAAAAGCCGCAGATTCTTCGGGAAACTATTCATTTGTGCGTCGTCAAATTTACGTGTCTTACCGCATGTGGGCACACAGCACTTGGTCACCACGTCGTAGCGCGCCTCTGGCGGCGGCACTGGCACCAGTTCGACTTCGGAGTCAGTATGACCCAAGGCCAAAGTTGGTACGGCCCATTTGTAGAGCATCTTCGGTCCCACACATTCTGCCTCGAAATGACGATTGCAGATGCGCACGCCACGGCAGTCTACAGGGTTCATCTTCAAATTGTTACACCATTTCCAGAGCAAATCCTCATCATCGCTGGGGAACTTGAAAAGTCGCACGCCATCTATCTCTTTGGTGGCGACGCAGCCGCTAACTACACACTGCGTCTCAGCAAAGCTTTGCGCTTCATTTGCAAAAGCATCCTCAACTTCGGGATCCAAATTCAATGTCGGTATGGCGCCCGGCATTAGCCGCTTGGCGCCGAACGCGTGTGGTTCGAAATGACGAGAGCAGACGCGGTATTGGCCACGTAGGGCTTCGCGTGCTTGTTGCCGCGTATTATGGCTCCATTTACGCAACACAGTGCGGCTATGCGGGAAGCGGAAAAGTTGTACGCCGTCAGCGCGCTTGCGGCTGCAAGATGCAATGCAACAAGTTTGTTGCATACACAATTTGGCAGCTTTTAGGCGCGCTGGATTTGTGTAGATTTTGTAGCCTGGTGGAATGTTAAGGTCGAGCGTTGGCACTGACATCGGTATGGGACAGCGCTTAGACAACACTTTCTCCTCGAAATGCGTGGAGCATATGCGACGATGCCCGTTTCCAACCAGTGGCAGCTGCAAATTGTGGCACCACTTAGCCAACATGGGACGATTGAGTACAGGAAAGCGAAAGAGTTGCACGCCGTCGGTGCCACGCCGCTTGCGGCAATGCGGCAGGCAACAACGTGGCGTCCACGGCTTCTGTGGCTCATTGGGGTCGCGCATGCGGCGGCGTTCGCGTCTGGCCTCCGCCTGCATGATCACCTGCGGCACCAGCGGCTCCGGATTCTCATACAATTGCTCCACATTATTAGCCAAATTGAGCGTGGGCAAGGCCCAGCATTGCAGTCGCCGTTTCTTGCTGAAGCAGTGCTCCTCAAAATGTAGATTGCATATGCGCAGCGTGGTGAGATCCTCGGTTTCCACTTGCAAGTTGTGTGCCCATTTGGCCAAAACTTCCGGATCCTCGGGCGTGCGATACAGCTTAACATCATCGATCTTGGGATCGCGGCGACATGTCGACACGCAACACTCGCCCTCTTCGATACCCTTATTTGACATAAGCGGCTTCGGCCATAGTTCAACGATCTCCTCCTCTGTGGGTAAACGATGTTTGGGCTCCTCAGCATGTCCCAGCTTCACCGTGGGTACGGCCCATTTCTCCAAGCGCTTATTGCGTATACAACGATCTTCGAAATGCATCTCGCATATGGCATCGTTGAAGAGTTTGGTGCCGTCAGGCACTGGCTTCAGCAGATTTTCGCACCACTTGGTGAGCATGTCATAATGCGATGGGAAGCGATGCAGATTGGCATGATCACGATCGCGATTGCGCTTGCAGTCCTGCACGCAACATGTTTCGCGTATATTCAATTTTTTAATAACATCTGGATTGCGATAGATATTCGGATCATCATGTCCCAAATTCAATGTGGGCACAGCGAAAGGACGCATGCAACCACCAATACAATACGACTCGAAGTGCGCGCTGCAGATGCGTACGCCCTTATGCAGCGTTTCGATGCCGATCTTGAGGTTGTGACACCACTTGCGCATTTGCTCTGGACGTCGTGGTATGGTGTGTAGCGTTACGTTATCTGTATGGCGATTACGCTTGCAGCTGGGCACAAAGCACACATCAATTGTTTCCAACATATTTTGTGAGGAATTAGCGCTCATGGCACTCATATCGCCAGCTGTAATGTTGGATATGCTGAACTTAAGACTTGAAACGGGGTTGGAGTACATTCTCTCGCTATGACCGCTGCTCGAAGCGATGCTATGACGATGGATGTTGTAGGCCGGAGACGGCGCGGAAACATTGTGGAAGTTAAACATTTTAGATGGTGGCACGGGGGGCGGCGTGGGCAACTCATTCTCATAGATGTTGAAACGGTCGTTATGACCCAAATTCAACGTGGGCACGGCACCTATTTAAAATAAGAGATAATAAAAAAATAATAAAATCTTCCAAACTGTCCGTTTATATTTTCCATACATACCTGGTGACAACTTTCTNAAAAAATAATAATAAATTTTCCAAACTGTCCGTTTATATTTTCCATACATACCTGGTGACAACTTTCTCAAACCCAGCGCCTCCTTGATGAAATGCGCGCTGCAAATTTTATGATTCTTTCCGCGATATATTGACGGATCTAGGCGTAAGTTATAGCACCAACGCCGTAGCAGCGTTTCATCACGCGGGAAGCGATACAAGGAGAGATTAAAATCAGACGAGCGTGTGCGCTTACAATATGGAAGACAGCATTTCTTCTCCTCCAAATAGAATACGCCTGGATTATCATGTATGCGACCGTATGGTGTGCCCAAATGCATTGTAGGCACAGCCCAAGGCTTCAGTCGAAACTTGCCGAAGCAGCGATCTTCAAAGTGTCGACTGCAAAAGTGACGCGGCTCGCGGCTATGCACGGGTAAGCGCGCATTCTGGCACCACTTGATGCGAGTTTTCATGTCATTCGGGAAATTGTAGAACTTGCAATTGCTCTCGCCACGCTGACTCGGACAACCGGGCATGCTGCATTGTGCGCGATCACCTACCGTGAATGTGTTGGTGATTTCGCGATTCTGATATAAATTCGCCACATCGTCGTGGCCCAAATTGAATGTGGGCACCGCCCAATAGCAGAGCGAGTAACGATTGATGCAACGTTTCGGAAAGTGTAAGCTGCAAATGCGATACTGATTGTAGGTCGAGCCGGGAACGGGCATCATTTTTAGGTTATGCAACCATTGATGCAAATACTTGTCATCTTTAGGGAATGTAAAGAATTGTAAAGTGGGACTGGAGTGCTTGGTGACGCCACAGTGTGGCACACAGCATACTGCTCCATCCTCGCCAGTGTCGACCACACGTGTGCGCGAGGGGACTGGGGATGTGGGGAAATGGAAATTGCTTGCAGCAAACTGCGGTGACTGATGATTGCTGTTGTTACTGTTGCTGTTGGCACTCAAGTTCCGTTGCAAGATGGTGCTGCTGAAATCGTGGCTGTTGCTATTGCTGCCACCGCTGGTGTTGTTCGGACCGCCAAAAGAAAGCGAACTCTCAGCGCCGCCAGCAGTAGCACCACCAAAAGATTCATTTGAAAAATCGCTAAAGCGATGTTGGCGTGATGGTGAGGGCAACGCAGATTGGTGTGCACTCAAGGGGGGAGGCGGTAGAGGAGGTGGTGGCAATTGTGCTGGTAGTGGATAATCAGGTGAGTCAAAAATGTCAGGTTCAACTTTTATTTCGGTCTTAATTTGTGGCATTTGGAATTCACTTGTGCCGCCAACAACACCGCCGGTGCCTGCACTGCCACTAATATTGCTGTTGCTGTTGCTACGACGCAAGAAATCTGGCGTCGGAGGTGCTGGATGCGGTGCTGAATGTGGTGGCGGAAGGTGCGGTTGATGTTGAAGGTGCGACTGCTGCTGCTGCTGCGGTGGCCGCTGACGCTGCAGATGTTGTTGCAGCAGATGCGGTTGCTGGTGTGAATGTGGTTGCTGTTGAGGAAGTGGTTGCTGTTGAGGAAGTGGCTGTTGCTGCTGGTGTTGTTGATGGAAGNGGCTGACGCTGCAGATGTTGTTGCAGCAGATGCGGTTGCTGGTGTGAATGTGGTTGCTGTTGAGGAAGTGGCTGTTGCTGCTGGTGTTGTTGATGGAAGGCGCGATTTTGTAGATATGAAGAAAAACTATTGCTGCCAGGCACTGCAGAAAGGTAATTGTTTAATGTAAGCATAGCAGAATTAAACAAAAAATTAATTATTACTTTCTATAACGCCCATCGAACAGTCTTGTAGATTATAATTGGCTGTATGTGATGACGGCGGAGGTCCATATGGAGGGCCAGCGGGCATTGCAGGGGCTAAGGTGCAAAAAGAAATTAAAATTAATTGTTTATAAACATAAAAACAACACACAAAAATGCAACGCACCTCCACCTCGCCGATAAAATTTGCCACAAAAATATGGTGCCGCCATACGATGTTGATGCAATTGTATTGGCGTGTGAAACCACAGACGACATATCGGACAATCATAGCGCGGTTGATTGCGATGCTGCGGCATATGAGCGAATAGCTGGTCACGGCTGGCAAAACCAGCAGAGCAAACCTAATGTGTGAAGATACATGAGAGGGACAAAGATCAGTTAAATATTTTAAGTTATTTGTTTTGCGTTTGTTACAAACAAACGGGCGCTTACATTACAGATATAATTGACATATTCATGATGCATATACTCATGCACTTCGCACAGTTCAATAGTGTCAAAAGATTTGCCACAGTATTTGTGACAAAAATACATATTTTCACGATGTAGTTGTTCGTGTGTTTGTAGTTCTTCGCTGGATGTGAACGACATGGGGCATATGGAACATTTAAAGTCATATTCGACAATTTCGCAGAGACTCTGGGAAACATGTTTAGTATAGCTTTGCTTCTTGAAGAAGACCTGCTTGCAGCGTTGGCAAATTGGCAGCGTATCGGAACGTTCTGTCTGAACTTTTCGGCGAGGAAAATTGAGCGTCTGAATATAAAGAGAGAGAATAATAAATAATTTTGATTATTTGAAAGAATGCGGATATTATAAAATGAAATTAAAATTGTTATAAAATTAAGTTACTTAAGCAATTAAATTTTATTTTGTTTAAGATAATCAAATAAATTAAAATAAAGTAAAATAAAATTTTAAAAATGATTAATATCTTATCTTAAAAATTTTTCAATTTCACATTAAATTCGATAACCACTCGTGTTTTTTTTTTTAAGGAAAGGAGTTACCTCACAGGTGGCCCCATTTTAATTTGGTTTATTGGATCATGAAGAGATTAACGATAATCTTAAATTTTTATATGAGAATTGCAGTCGGTTTTGTTTTTTTTTTGCTTAAGAATTACTTGTTCATATGTGTTAATAAAATCAGTTCCCCTCTTGTTGAAATCTAGAGCTTTTTATTTTATAAATACTGATACAAAATGCGAAGAGAGCTTTTACTTGATACAAATCTTGATGAAATTTGTTTACCAAAATATTTACTAAGAAAACAGAATTGGGCGGGAAATGTGAAATTTTCCGAAAAAAAGGAGTCCATTAAGCAGGACCATGCTGTTAAACTTCCACAAAAAAGATGCTCCTTCACAAGTATTTGTTGAGTATTTTTGGAAGTTTTCGTTTAATACTGCATAATGTTAATATTATTATGTTACTTAGAGAATATGGAGAAACAATGTAGGACGCTCCGAATATGGAGCCGACAGCATATTTTTATGGCGAAAGTGGACTGAATTTTATACAATCCAATTTTTAATAATATAAAACGATATTTTCATTTCCCAATACCGGGCGCTCATACATATGGTTGATGAAATGTAGAAAAGTCCAAACTGACATTTTTTTTCGAAATTTGCTACAAAAAGAAATTTGACAATGCAAATGAAGCTTCAAAGAAAGTTGTATAAGTTTAGGAGGCTTTGCATTTGTAAATAATTCAGAGATCAGCAAAAATTCTGTGATCGTAATTTCGTGTGAAAAATATCAAGTAAATAAATAAAAACCAATAAATAGTGCAAAAGTGGACAGCGGCGTGCCACAAATACAAAAAATAGGACAAATGGCAAGGAGTATACTTACGGTGACCATCCGTCCTATATTTAAAAGGACAGTTTTTTATTTTAACCCCCGTCCTTTATAATATTTGTCAAAAGTCATTTATAATGATTTGATTTAATTTTTCAGAATCGGTTAAAATCCGGTTACAGTGCATTTCGGGAAGGGAACTTGTACAATTAAATAACATAATTAACTGGTAAATACTTGATCTAAATTACGATATGCTTGAGGTACTTGTATCATACCTACAAGTTGCTTTCCAGATCATTTTGAAAAAATGTCCTCTATTTTAATATGGTCACTGCAAGTATGCTGGCATATTTATCTAAAAGCTTAAACAGACGGCAGCGTTGATCCGGACTAACTCGGACTTAATCCGGATCAACTGCAGTTAATTCCCGAGTTGATCCGGATCAACGCTGCCGTCTGTTTATGCTTTAAGACAAAGGACAGTTCCCGGTCAAAGGCCATCCACATTGTTAGGGGAATCATGTTCGTCGTACTTTTGTCTAAAAAATTACTGTAAATACCTTCCTTCTGATGAAAATGCCTGAAAATAAATTTTTTATTAACGCTGGGAGATGTGGTGGGACCAGATGAAGTAATACGTTTGCATTATCATTAATTTTATTCCAACGAAGCGACAGACATCTGACAGTTATATAAATATTATATACTATCCCTTTCTTTTTTCTTGTTTAGTTCATGACTCAAAGTAACTGCTAACATGCTTTGATATGGAAACAAAATACATATGTATACTGGATTTTACATGTATTCAAAAAGCCCTAACTGAACAATTTATTTCATAACTTTTCATTCACAATGGCCCTAACTGACAGAAATTCTACATAATTGATAAGAATATTAAAATTGTTTAAATTATGTTAGGTATTGATATTTAACATAAATGCCATCAATAATTTTCACTAAACATTTTATTATTTCAATTATATCGCTAGCTTAGAGTGAAAAGCCGCTAAGTCCACTTTTTATGATAACTCATATTTTGATGCAGGAGGCTAGAGATATTAAAAATACATCGTTTCGAAAAGGATAAAGGTCCTTGTTTTATGTTTTCTCGTTTATATCCAATGGACGGAAGATTTGCTAAATCCAAAAGCAGCTCCGAAAATTCGATTTGGCTAAAATAGTACGAAATCTTTTATTTAAGATCGAACCCCTCTGATTCGTATGCAGTTTTGCTTTGCCTTAAACAGGCAAAACTTTGTGTTCAATTTCGATCAGGAAACTCTGTTTTCCTGCAGGAGATTCCCAATATTAATACCCAATTATTTATTCAACCATTTTTTCATAGTAACTATAATTTATAAGTCCGTCAAAAACCCCGAAAAATACAATTGTGGGACCAATAAAAAATCGTTAGAATTAAAAAAATTGTTAAAAAAAAAAAAATTGGGTATTACTATTGCAAGTCCTTTGTAGAGAGCCTGAGTTTTCCGATCGAAAAAATTGATTTTCAAGAATTCTATACCATTTCTACGAAAAGTTGTTTTTTCCCACCATATAATATATGTACATGGAGAAATTTGAAAGACCTCTAAATATTTTTTGATTTCACAATAAAAAAATAGGAGTATACTTATTTTCTATATAGAGCAATCCTAGGGGGTGAGAGCATTAAAATTCCGACTAATATGTTTGGAGCACCCTAATGTACATGCCTATGTATGTAAGATTCGCACTTGTTTGCAAATTTTGAAGCGTCCGTCGAGAAATGCTTTTTTAATATAAAACAATATTTTAAGCATATAGTGAAAATTTTTAATAAAAGGAAAATTTATGTTTTTTCTTAACATTATGTTAAATGCTAGCATTTTAAAAGAAAACACTTCATATACTTCCTATGAGGTTTTCAAATACTACTGAATGTAATCAACTCAAGTAATCTGGAAAAGCGGAAAGTGTTTTATATAGCAGAGCACTGTTGAGTAACATTGCTCAGTTCCACAAATTTATGATGTTCTCTTTTTTTTTTGTTCGTATCTTTTTAAGTATTTTAAAATTTAAGTTCTATTTACTCTGTACTTAAGTGAAGAGTATTTCGGCAATTATATTTTCAGTGCGTTAGTAATTATAGCTTCTTATTTGTATTGTAGGTAAGTAAAAAACTCAATATTTAGATAAACTTGGCAATAATTTTTTTATGAAAACGACAAGAAAGTATGTGCGGCTAAGCAAAATTCGTTGGGGGTAGAATGTTCGATGCATATTACTGAGGTCATCTAACAAAGGGATTTCTTTTTACTATACATAATATAATACAAAATTATAAACTCGTAATAAAAAAGTATTTAAAAACTTAGAGATGAAAATGAAAGGATATTTTAAGTGGAAAAATTAAAAACAAAACATATTAAAATAAAATAAGATAAGATAAGCAAAGAAAAGATTAGCAAATTAAAATTAAACGCAAAATTTTGAATCAAAATAAATGAAAATTAGAAAACTCAAACCCTAATACAGAATATTTAGGCAAACCAGATTTACTTATGCAAAAAACTGTAGAAAATAATTAAAACTAACCAACAAATCAAATAAATTTTGTCTGAGAAGATAAAATAATGGAGCAAATAAAGATCAAAATTGAACACAATGAAAAAAATATTGGTGCGAACAAAGAAGCTGATGAAATAAAATAAATTCTAAGTTAACAAATAAATAAAAATGATAATCGATACCGAGTTAAAAATATAACAATATATAAATAAATACGAAACTATAAAAGCAAAAAAATATATAATCGAAGTATTCACACCAACTTGTTATCGAGTTATATGGCTATATGGTTATATTTTTTATGCAGCTTCCAACAATAAAATACGCTGAAGAATAATAATTTTTGAACAGTTATCCCTTTTGGGACCGCACGCATACACTTAAAAATATACCCGACGAAATAAGAACCTGCTTTTGAAGTCGGTAAAAACCTGGTTTTTATAACAGAAAATATAAGGATACAATTATTTTTTTCAATTCAATTTCTTTAAAATTTTTTCTCTATATTTGTTTCCCACAAAATTATTTTTTTCTGTTTTGACAATTTTTCTGCTTTTGATAAAAATATTTTTTTCTAAAAAAGATTGCTTCCAAAAAAAATATTTTGTAAAAATTACTCCTTTTTCCGAAAAATTCTTGTTTTCTAAAAATTTATATTTCTGTACAATCTTTTTTTTATAAAAATGTATTATCTTTTCTCTAAAAGTTTTTTTGTCTAAAAATGGATTTTTTAATAACTATATTTTTTCCTAAAGGTAATTTTTTCTAACCTTTGGAAAATTTTTGAAGTTTTTTCTAAAATTTTATGATAAAAATATCTAAACAAAATGAGGCACATTATAGAAAACAAAAAAAAAATCTTTAAAACAATTCAAACAGTTTTCTTAATAGTGGAAAAGCTTTTTGGGAAGCATGTTTCCCTTGGTCTTGGAAGGGTTAACTTTCAAAGCAAGGTGTGAATACCTAAAGTTTAATAAAATAACAGAGATGAGAAAGATATTAAAAATATAAATTAAATTATTTATAAGAGACAATTTTTTATTCCCTATTAATATTTACCTCTCTCACCTTATTTTGCGACGCTTCTGGCATCTCTTCCTTAATATGTATTTGTGGCTCCAGTTTAGCCGTTAACAGGCCGGCTTCCGCCATAGCATCGTGCGATAAGATTGGTTTGTTTGTTGTTGTTGTGTTTGTTGTTGTTGTTGTTGCTGCTGCAGCTGCTCTTGTTGTTGCTGTGTTGACGCTGTAATTGTTGCTGTTGCTGTTGTTGGCGCTGCACTTGTTGTTGTGGTTGCTGCTGCTGTTGTTGGGCTGTACCTGTTGTTGTGGTTGCTGCTGCAGTTGTTGGCGTTGAGCTTGTTGTTGCTGTTGCTGTTGTTGGCGCTGCACTTGTTGTTGTTGTTGCTGTTGCAATTGCTGTTTATGTTGTTGCTGTCTTTGCTGCTGTTGCAGCTGATGTGTAAGCTGCGGATGCTGATGAGCATGCTGAAGCAGATGTGGATGCTGATGCTGTTGTTGATGTTGATGTTGTGGATATGATGATTGTAAATGCTTAGGAAAATTCATATAACCAGCGTTAGGATGCATATTTGCGCTTCCTGTAGCTATGGATTCATCGACCGTACTAACTTTATTGAATGCATCATCTGTGGGTTCGGCTGTGGAAACATAGAAAAGAAATATGGGTACGCTATGTAGCAGTCATACGAAATAATATGTAAGACTCATTCGTGAATTCATAACAACTTGCCGAAGGCAATCGAAAACTAAACTAAGTACTTATGTTTGACATACGTACGTACACACTTACAGTACTTATGTAGGTATAGATATACAGTATTGGCCAATATAATTGTACCTCCATTTCAAATTGTAATTGTTTGCCACTTATGTTTATTTATTTATTTTTAGGAAGTGTCAATTAAAATACAGTTTATTCTCTGACAAAATCCACATAAACCCAGGTTTAAAACTTTGCAGAAAACTACAAAAAATAAAGAAATTTTCACCAGAATTTCAAACTTTTTTCTCAGAAGTGTTAGAATTTTTTTGAGTACGCAGTTTTGAAATTATTTTAATTGAAAATTCTTAAAAATGTATAATTAATTCCAAGTGGCAAACAATATCACTTTGAAGTAGGGGTGCTATAGATATAGTCAGTGCTGTAGATATACATACATACAACTGCCTGAATAAAGTATTGGCACAGCAAATTTTTCACAATATATGCAAGAATTTTTATTCTAATATTTTTCCGCCAATTTTGATATAAAAATATGGTATATTCAACAACAAAAAACATAAAAATATAATAACTAAACTTAGTGCAAGACTCGCGAAAATTCAGCAAATTTTCATAAAAATTTTCAATTTGAATTTTTTAGAATTTTTTAAGTATGCAGTTTTGCAGCCCATTAAATTCTAATAAAAAAAATGCAAGTTCGGAGTTATTTTTGAGAATTTTATTTTGTTGAAGGTGTTTTGCATTTTTTCCATATAAAGTATTTTCGAAAAAAATTTTTTAGTACGGAAGAGACTGCGTGAAAAAAAATTGCCACAAATCAACAGTAATTCCTAGCTACTTAAAAAGTTAAAAAAAAGTTAAAAGTTCAAAATTTTCATGAAAATTTGCTGAATTTTCGCGAGTTTTGCACAAAGTTTAGGAATTATATTTTTATGTTTTTTTGTTGTAGAATGAACCATATTTTTATACGAAATCAGCGGAGATCTATTAGAATGAAAACTGTTGCATACATATATTGTGAAAAATTTGCTGTGCCAATACTTTGTGCCGGCAGTGTATGTATTTATGTATAATCGAATAGAAATACACACAAATATTATGAGAGCAATAGAAGGTGCGAAA